AAAAATAGATTAGTTAGATTTATGYAGCAAAAACAAAYGTATCTTCATAAATTAGACATTCTGATAATCTAATGTGTTCCTCGCTACTGTAAAAAAAGACTAAATTTAATGTGACTTTGCTGGTTAAACAAGAAAACACTTGTTTCTGTGATGCATCCATTTCATCATCATTTGGTAGAACTTTCCACAGCTCTGAGCAGATCTTTGTGCACAGCCTGATCCACCAACAGAGKATTCCAAAATGCAGGCTGATGCTGCTCTCTGCTCTCCGTTGACTTGATTTTGTTATTTCAACTAATGCTGCAGAGAATGACTGCGTACATGGATGTCTGCATGGATGCCTTCAAAACAGATTGGGARGAGAGTAAACAGCCACTCTGTGCTTGTGTTTTGGGTTAAAACAGCACAGACCGCCTCGCTGACCTCTACCTTTCCTGGCACTCTGCAGACAGAAGGCAAACATGCCGTCTGTGAGCACCTGCACAAAAAATGTGAAGTAAACACTCCTGCACAAAAACCGCATGCCCAGTTTTTCACAGCAGGCTGATTTTTTTTTAAAGCTTAGAACACTTTTGCTGGATGTTTCCTGAGTTAAAACGGCTAGAAACTTTTGGATTGTTCAATATCTGCTTTAATAGTAACCTAAAATGGAAGGGTGGGGCCGGGCAGCCGGGATAAGGAGGAGGAGGTGAAGGAGTTGTGCATTTTTTACATTTTTCCCATGTTTTGTTGTTCTCGCACCCCTCAGGGACTTGTTAAGTGGTGACAGCTGAAGGGAGTGCTCAGGGAATGTCAAACCAACACCCAAAGACACTGAGAGGTCACTAGAACATGAAGTCCAGACAGTRGTTCAAACAATGAGCCAAACCTTTACTGTAACTCCTGACTGAGTGAGACTTTACAGCAGGGATGATAAAACACCTTTTTACCATCGTTTAGAAGGTGAGGAGACAAAAGAGAGGCTGCATTGGATTTATTGAACATCAACTCTTTSAGCGTCTCGAATGAAGAAAAATAAATGAAATGTTTCAGAAACTCTCACAGGGTCACAAAACACTCAGTTTGGGGCTTAGGGGTGATTTCAGGACACTATAATTGTTGCAAAACATAAAAAGGAATTGACACTAATTTTAAGTCCAGCCTGGCAGGGATTCAGCTGGGCTGGGACGGGCTGGTGAGGGAGTACAACACCAATCACGAGGACTATCAGTAACTACAGTATGTGACATAAGCCAGTCTGAATATGTCAAATAATGTGCCTGATGAATATCATCTACAAACTTAGCAGACGGAAACCACTAACATCATAAATCAGATGTATTTCGGAAGCAGAGCTTTAGAAAAATATTGCAACTTTAWGAAAAGCCAGGAGGGAACAGTTTGTCCAATTATTTGCATACTTTTAATAATACTTAGCATTCAGCAATGTTTAGTCTCCATAACTTTTAAAATATATAAATAGGAACAGAAACAGTTTTTACAACAGCAAACAATAATTATATTCACTATGAAATAATTTGCCATTTTATTTTATTTACCAGATGATATAAAAAAGCAATACAATTTTATTTTACCTGATAAAATAAAACCAATAACAACATGTTGCCTCAAATGAAACACTTTAATGGCTCATAGGGGACATTTGGCAACCACTTTATTATTAAAAACTTTTTTTTAGGTTTATAAAAACCTTAAAGTAATTATTTGTTTTATTATAGTTTTGGTAACTGAACTGACATGGCAACGTAAGAAACATTTCTTATCTAAAATATTTGCAGCTGAGCCAGTCGTGACGTCAGCGAGCTTCTTGTAATCTGTAATACTGAATCATGTGCACATGCCAAAGAGATCGACGGATTTCTGGACACATTTTGGGGGTTAAAATAAAAAAAGACACCCAGCTTATATATTGCTTTTAATGTAAAATTAAGTCTTCCTCTTGTATGAAAACAGTAGATGAATAAAAGTCCACCAGTTCTGTTCTGGACCAACATTACTCAGCTGAGGTAAGCTGCCATTCTAACTGAGCCAACTCTCAGTGCAATAATTTATGTAACTACTGTGTAAGAATGGCACTAAAAGAAAAAAAAATGAACTCAAAGCTCAACTTAGGCAATAATCAGACCAGTGCCAGCATGAACACACTAGGGGTGTATATGCTGCAAACCAAGGATTATCAGCATCTTTGAGTTTTGGTCCCAGTCTGAAGCAGGCAGTCAGGGTAAAGCTCATTCTTTAGTAACTACAAGGTGTCTGAACTTTGTGACAAATGACACAATTTGTTCATTTTGATGGAAATCTTAAAAACCAAGCTGAGTAACTGTTTAAATGTTGGTGGAAAGGTGGGTCAGGCCACATTCGGCCCCGGTCCACTCTGCAGGAAGGAAACTCCACCTCCGCAGCGGGCCGAGCCCTCGGGTGGCGGTGATGTCACACGACATGTTACCCTATCCCACCTACCTACCAAAAATCTAGACTAACACACCCATTCTGACCCCCACCCAGCGTTAGAGCCACTCTGCATATCTCAGCAGTCAGCCGCTAAAACATCAGAGGTCTGTTTTTGCCCTGAACAAGAACAAGAAACCCGTGGATCAGCTTCAACTAATTCATCCACTAGGGTTGAGCAATATTGCCCCGAAAATTTATCACAATTAATTGTGGCATTCTGTCWAAAATGATTAATATGATGATTAACAGATGACAATTGTACTTGTATGTTTTTAACTCTAAATCCATTATCCTGTGTTTTAAAATTATACGTACAAATCATCAAACTTCTTCGTTTTAGCAGCAGTTTAAAGCTGTGAATTGAAATCCACTTTCTCCACAATMTGAAGTGGCAYCATATCTTTAGTAACGCAATATGCCACAGGCTCACATGCACACTTGATAGTG